TTGGTAGGAATATGATGCTATAATCTGCTTATTTTCTGTTTATCTTATTTCATAATTTTCCATAGTACACATATTTCCTTTTGATAGTATCAGAAGTTTATTTTTAAAGTAACAATAATAAAGGGAAAAAATAAGAATCTGAGATCCTGGGGCCAACTTCCAGATCAAGATGGGCTGCCCTTGGAAGGAGGCTTCTCCTCCACTCCCTTTGCACACCTTTCTGGGACTCTAGCCCTGGCCGGGGGCTTGTGTGAAATCCTGGGTGTTCTGTGCTCCCCTTTACTAGCTCTGCAGGAGCCAGGCTGGTGGGCTGAGGTGGACGAGTGTGGGTGAGAGCAAGGACTCTGTTCTGGACTGAATGTTTGTGTCCCTGAAAATTCCTATGCTGAAACCTAACCCCAAAGTGATGGTATTAGGAGGCGGAGCTGTGGGGAGGGGATTAGGTCCTGAGGGTGAGCCCCTGTGAACGGGATTAATACCCTTATAAAAAGGGCCCCAGGGAGATCCCTGGCCCCTACTGCCTTGTGAGGACCCGAAGCACTGGGCCAGGACTCCTAGCTCCATCTCCGCATCTGTAAAGCGGCTGGGGGCGGCAGCTCCTCCACAGGCAGCTGTAGGAGTTAGGAGCAGGCTCGGGGAAAGTGCTCCGTGCAGTGCCTGGGCACTGGGGATGCTGCATTGTGCTGGGTCACCACAAGTCCCCAAGAGAGGGCAAGGAGACAGCAGGACTGTGGGAAAACCAGCGCAAAGCAGAAAGAGGCCACCCATCAGAAAGGCTCCAGAGTTGGACAAGATAAGGCCACCTCCAAGATTCCTTATGAGAGCTCCTGGCTTCCTGGGAAAGGCCTGCGGTGGGATTTTCTGCATAGGTGTAAGCAATGGGCAGGTAACAGACACACCTGGCTGAACACCTCAGTGTCAACGATGACCTCAGTGATGACAGCAGGAATGTCATGGAGGTTAGTTACTCTCGCGAGCAAACGGACCAACTCACCAGCTTTTCCAGCTCGAGAATCTTCTTTTCCTGCTCATGTATTTGCTGATTCTTCATCTCTAATACCTGCTTCAGACTCTTCATGTCTTCTTCCAAGTGCTGATAAGGAGCCAATGCAATCTACAGGGGCAGAGAGCCATGAGCTGTTGACCAGGGCTCCCGACAAAACCCAGTATTAACCAATACCACGAATCCAGCTAAATCCATCCTCCTGGGACAAGCGCCCTGATGGCAACTGCGACACCAAAGAGAGAGGATGCTACAGCCTTCCCTGATAAAGTTTCCCACTGAGAAGCCTCCTAAAATCCAGTTCTATGGGGGAGCAGGTGAGACACGGCCATCGTCCACTGGAAAGTCTGACTCCAGAACTGCTGGGTGCTGCCAGCCTATGCCCAGCAGGGAGCTCATGGGGTAGAAAGAGTAAACCCAACACTGGCTTTTAACATTCACCCGGAAGACTTGATTCACGAGGTAGCTGGGACTCTTACAGGTCTCACCTATGCCCGTAAAGAGCCCATGCATAGGAAATGAGTCAAGTGGTTTAAGAAGCAGAAAAGCCATTTTAGACAAAAGTCACGTTGGGGTAGTGCTGCTGGATGTAACAAATTAAAATACAGTAGGTCCTGTTAAATCCAAATTCAGATAAATGACATTTTAAAAAATTCAGTATAAGTATTGCATGGGACAGACTTATACTCAAAAATTTATCTGTAATTCAAATTTAACTGGGTGTCCTGTATTTTATTTGGCAACCCTACATTAGAGGGAAGGAACTTTGCCAGCTTTTCTGGAAAAAATTCCCCTCAACCTGTTAACGCATGCTGCAGCCAAGGCTGCCCCACGTCAGCCTAAAAAGTTGCGGGAGAACGGGCTGGAAGGGGTGGCCGGGCCGGGGGAACGGGCCGCAAGGGGTGGCCGGGCCGGGGGAACGGGCTGGAAGGGGTGGCCGGGCCAGGGTGGGGGTTTCCAGACCATGCTTATCACAGGAGCCCTGGGACTCCAGCTGGGGAATGCTGCGGAATTTGGCAAAAATAACACGTCGCTGGAGAAACCCACAGCTGCTGTCTGTCTCAGGGGAGAGGTGCTGACAGCAATTGTTTAAAAATCCAGGGGAGGCCGTGACCAGCTGTCACTTCAGCAGTGGATTCACAGAGAGGCCTTGTCTCGGGACTGGACTGCTGAGGGAGCCCCGCTGGCCTCGCTGGGGCGGGGTCCCTGCGGGGCTGGAAGCCTGGAATCCAGACACTACCTCCAGCTGCTCCTCTGTGTTCCTCCTCAAGGCCTCTTCGAAGCGGCGGGCTCTGTCCCGCAGAGACTGGCTCTGGAAGGTCAGCGTGTCCACCTGGTCCTGCAAGTAATGATACAAGGAGTCCAGCTGGGGCCACTACAGACAGCAGCCACCACAGCCTGGGCAGCTGTGATCAGTGGGCCACCACTGTGCCCTGAGCACCCTCAGAGTGTTTCCCTGGGGGCTGGAGAAAGAGGTGCCAAAGGGGAACCCCCACAGCCACACAATGGAGGAGGGTGTCCCCCCGCGTCTGCCCTCAGCTCACTCCTCCTTGGTGCTTTGTCAGGAAGAGACCACAAAAGCACAGTGAGCCGGGGGCGTTTCACAACCTCTGATCCCACAGAGGCAGACAATCCTCAGAGAGAATCCTCAGAGGCGCCTCTTGTCCAGGAGGCACCCAGCCCCTGGCTTTGGGAAGGACCACGATGAACGTATTTCAAAGATGTATTCTCATTTAGGAAGCTCAATCCAGAACCCTTCAAGCCCTCCTTGACTTCCTTCTCTCCCTTGGGACCCCTCCCACATCACCAAACCTTCTCATCACGAAGTCCATAATCAAGTCCTGCCATCCTGAATGTCCCTAGAACCCACAGACTCCCCTGAGCTCCGGCCACTCTGCTGGCTACTTTCTGAGACGGTTCCTGTTTTTTTCTGAATGATCACTCCTTTGCCCTCACACTGTAGTGAGGCACTGTTTCTAACGTGCAAACCGGAACCTGTCCTTCTCCTCTCTCCTACCCCACTGCCCTCAAGCTGCAGTGCACACTCCCTAACACAGCGTCCTCCCAGCCTCGCTGCCTCCCTTTCCTCTTGTGCCAGCTCTCCTGCTGCCAGTGCCTTCCTCCAGCCAGCTCCCTCTCACTCCCGCTTCACTCTGGCTCCCACACAGCCTTCCCGGCCTCAGGACTGGGTTGCATGTCCTTGATAGGAGCTGCCACGTAAGCCAACTCCACACAGTCTCCTCCTCCCTGCTCAGACCCGCCCTATGGCCAGACTGGCGCTCCCAGCCCTTAGCCTTCCCATGCCTGCCAGTTAGGCAGGCCGCTGGCCACTCTCCACCTGCAGGTTGAAGGAATATAAGGGTGTCTATGGAGACACTGCACCCCTTCCCCAGCTCCCAGCGCAGATGCACCTGCACTGACCCTGCCCCACTCAGCTCCGGCCATGACTCTCAGGACCACAGGCTGGCAAAGGACCGCTGATGCCCAAGGAGAGCTTCACCCGTCATGTCTCACTCATGCAGACCAGTCCAAAGCTCTTTGCCCAGCACCATTTCTATAATATCAAAACACAGAAACTAGGGTCTCCCATTAACTCTTCTAAAAAAGTATATAGATATACAGATACACACACACACACACAAAAAAAAAAAAAGAGAGAAGGAGAGAGAAAGAGAGAGAGAGAGACAGGGTCTCACTCTGTTGCCCAGGCTGGAGTGCAATGGTACGATCTCGGCTCACTGGAACCTCCACCTCCCAGGCTCAAGGGATCCAAGGGATCCTCCCATCTCAGCCTCCCAAGTAGCTGGGACTACAGGTGCGCACCAGCACACCCAGCTAATGTTTGTATTTTTAGTAGAGACAGGGTTTCGCCATGTTGCCCAGGCTGATCTTGAACTCCTGACCTCAAGTGATCCACCCGCCTCAGCCTCCCAGAGTGTTGGGATTACAGGCGTGAGCCACCGTGCCCAGCCTCCCGTGGACTGTTCTGGCAAGAGAAATGGCCTCATCTGCCAAATAATGGGAGGCGATATTGTGAATGCTAGTAAGTGTACACAGTGACACTAACATGGGAAGCACTGGCTTGACTGCTTGCTTTCTTATGGTGGACGACCCTGGTCTGCAAGCTCCCTGAGTAGGTTCCTTTTCCTCTTTTTTTGTTCTCTTTTCCAGTTACTACTTTTTTTTTTTTTTTTTTTTTTTTTTTTTTTTTTGAGACAGAGACTCACGCTGTCACCCAGGCTGGAGTGCAGTAGCTTGATATTGGCTCACTGCAACCTCCGCCACCCAGATTCAAGAGATTCTCGTACCTCAGCCTCCTGAGTAGCTGGGATTACAGGTGCCCGCCACCACGTCCAACTAATTTTTTTGTATTTTCAGTAGAGACGGGGTTTCACCATGCTGGCCAGGCTGGTCTCAAACTCTGACCTTGTGTGATCCACCCGCCTCGGCCTCCCAAAGTGCTAGGATTACAGGTGTGAGCCACCGTGCCTGGCCCATGTCTGACTAATTTTTTTTGTATTTTTAGTAGAGATGGGGTTTCACCATGTTGGCCAGGCTGGTCGCGAACTCCTGACCTCAGGTGATCTGCCCCCCTCGGCCTCCCAAAGTGCTGGGATTACAGGCATGAGCCACCGCACCCAGCCTACTTCCATTTTATTTTTAAGAAATAAAAGTTTCCAGGCCGGGCGCGGTGGCTCAAGCCTGTAATCCCAGCACTTTGGGAGGCTGAGACAGGTGGATCAGGAGATCGAGACCATCCTGGCTAACACGGTGAAACCCCGTCTCTACTAAAAAAATACAAAAAACTAGCCGGGCGAGGTGGCGGGCGCCTGTAGTCCCAGCTACTCAGGAGGCTGAGGCAGGAGAATGGTGGGAACCCGGGAGGCGGAGCTTGCAGTGAGCTGAGATCCGGCCACTGCACTCCAGCCTGGGAGACAGAGTCAGACTCCGTCTCAAAAAAAAAAAAAAAAGAAACAAATAAAAGTTCCCACAGTGCCATGAAATGCAAATGCCAGTGCACTGGGGCAGCACGCTGCAGGTGGGAGCTTGCAGGCCTATGAGCTGAAATGTTCATCGCAGCCTGGGCAGCCCCTCCAGGCCCGCAGCACAGGTCACCTGCTATACTGACTATAAAAATGACCATGGCTTCTACACCAAACCTCCTCAGTGTTGCCAGAGAAAGCATTTCTTTTAAGCCTCTTTCCCTCCATTAAAAAATAAAACAACAGCAAACTCTTCAGGCAATTACAACTTAGGATGGATCTAAAATACCAAACTGATGTGTCTGCTTTATTCACCATTACTCAAAACAGATCTGCAGGGAGAGCATACGCTGCTGCAGCTAACGTGGGCTGCCTTCTTTATGTCATGCACAAAGACCCGGCTGGTGGCCTGACCCAGTGTGGGTCACTGGGGAGTCAACCGACATCATGACAATAACCACAATAAATGTAACAATGCTTGTTGTTATTACAACAGTCACAATAGCTGCCGCTTATTAGCACCGACCTAAGCCAACCCAGGGCTAGGCACTTCTGACACGTTATTTTCCTTAATCTGTTCACACCTTGAGAAAAGTAGTGTCATCATCCTTATTTTAAAGAGTAAACTAAGGTTTACAGAGGCTACATAACTCTCCAAGATGTGAAAGCTAGTAAGAGCTAGCGCAGCGGGGATTTAAACACAAATTCAAATCTCTAACCACCAAACCTGTTTCTCCAGGTGCCTGTGGACTAAGGAGGTTGGCTTGAGCAATTCTACCCTCCTTGCACCAAATCACCTCCAGCCCAAATGGATTGTGCTGGACGGAGAGTCACAACGAACATATGCCCAGTTCAGGACCATCTGGTGTCAGTGGCAGGGCGCCGACTCCCAGACGAGACAAAAACTCGCATTTCTTTGGGTTTGGGATTGGATGGGGTTTTTGTGACATGGCTGTATGGCTGTCAGTTTCCTGATTTGTGTTCCTTTAAGGATAGCACAACTATTGGTGCAGGATGTGTATACAAGGAAGGCAGTCTGGGTTCACTGGCCAAGGGCAAACCACACGAGCACTGTGCAGGCATAACACATTTTAGTTTTTGCAGAGTACACTGGAGGGTGTGACCCTGGCTCTCTCCACAGTCCTGGACTCTTGGCGGGGCAGGCTCAGTGCCATGTATGTTGCCAGAGGAAAGTGAGCCATCAAAAAAGCAGAATTCCTGCCTATGTATTAAGCTATGGGGTTCACCTCCCACAATTCCAGATGAGAGTATGCCTAACATTTAAAAAATAATTTTGCTGTGATTGGAATTGCTACACTTGGAAGTGGAAGCAGGGCCCCCAGCGTCCCCCTGGCTTCCCAGGCAGCTCCTCCATGGGGCTGGCGGTTGTCAATGTCTTTTCACACAAGCAGCTGCCTGCGTCTCTGTAAGGCAGGAAGGAAGCAGGAAGGACACACAGGTGATCCGGGACACGCTGCATTCTCTCCTCAGAGGCCTGCAGGACACAGGCAGCTCCTCTGGCATCTGAGACCAGCATTTCCTAAAGGTGATGGTGAGAGGTGGAGACAGTGTTTTTCATCTCAGCCACCTCCAGGTAACTGCAGCCCCTTTTGTAAGTCTCAGAGCATGTTTTGTAAATCTCAGAGCATGTTCTGTAAGTCTCACAGCATGTTCTGTAAGTCTCAGAGCATGTTCTGTAAGTCTCAGAGCATGTTTTGTAAGTCTCAGAGCATGTTTTGTAAGTCTCACAGCATGTTTTGTAAGTCTCAGAGCATGTGAATTCTGACCTGCAAAACCCTCCTTGCACCATTTCCCCAGCCTAGAACACTCTCTTCCCCAAGTCCTCCTCTGGCTTTGAACATAGCTCAGTTACTCCTCGGATACTCCAGACCACAGCAAGTGCACAGTAATCTCTCTGAATGCCTGTGGCATTCACTAACGGTATTATTCATGTGGTGCAAGTATGTGTTACCTGTTGTCTGTTACTATTTGCATCACAGCTCTCCGAGTAGACAGCACATTTCTTCAGGGTAGGCAGTATGACTTATTTACCTTATGTTCCAATGTTTAGTACAGGATTTAGTACACAGTAGGTGCTGAATGAATGTCTGTGGGTGCGAATAACGATGCTGCCATTATCTTGGTATCAGGTAAGAAAATTAAAGAAATACTAACCTGCAATGACAGCCGCAGTTTTTCAAAATTTTCTTCCAATTCTTTCTTTTCAAGCTCATGAGTGGACATCAATTCTGGAAAGAGGACATGAAACTGTTAAGTTGGTCTTCGTTTTGAAAAGGATGAAACAAGGCTCTTTTGGCAGACTAAGACCCGTGACTTCAGGTAAATCAGTGACTCCCGGATAGCAGATTCAAGCCTACGGGGACTCCTCCACTGGTTTGAAATTGTATGTGATGAACGGGTTAGTATTTAGGAGAGAGAAAGAAAAAAGGGACTGGGGAAAGGGAGGGAAAAAGAGAAGATGGGGGCAGAGAGAGCACATATGAACACACACAGAGCACACACTACACACACACACACGTCACACACCCATCACACACACACCACACACACACCCCTACCACACACACATCACATACACACCACACGCCACACACACATCTACCACACACATCACATACGCACACACCACAAACTACACACACACCTATGACACACAATCACATACACACCACATGCCACACACACACACCTACCACACACATCACATACGCACCACTGCCACACATACACATACACACCTACCACACATATCACATACACACACACCACATGCCACACACACACCTACCACACACACATCACATACACACATGCCACACACACATACACACCTACCACACACATCACGCACCACTGCCACACATACACACCTACCACACACATCACACACACACCACATGCCACAGACACATCTACCACACACATCACACACACACCACACACTACACACACACCTATGACACACAATCACATACACACATGCCACACATACACACCTACCACACACATCACATATGCACACACCATACACCACACACATATACACACCTACCACACATACCACATACACACCACATACACACCTACCCACATCATATACACCACATCACACCTACCACACATACCACATACACACCACATACACACCTACCACACATTCACATACACACCACATGGCACACACACCTACCACACATACCACATACACACCACATACACACCTACCACACATTCACATACACACCACATGCCACACACACCTACCACACACACATCACATACACACACATCACATACCACACACACACACCCCTACCACACATCACATACACAGCACATGCCACACACATACACCTACCACACACACATCACATAAACACACTACCCACAAGAGCACATCCAATACACACCTTCCATGTACATCACATACACATACTACATGCACACACACACACCCCACACACACATCACACACATACACCACATGCCACACACACACCACACAATCGCAAACACACACTACATGCCACACACACATACACACCAAGCAATCACATACACTATATGCCACACACATATACACACCTATCACACACACCCCTGCACACACTCCCCCACATAGACCACACACATCCCCCACACATCATGCCCGCCACACCCCCACATACATACACTGCCCACATCCCACATACACATACATACCACATACAAACCTCCAGCACACACCCACTACACACACCACACACATTCCTCCACACCCCCACATATATACACTACACATACCACACATATACGACATACACACCTACCACACACACATATACACAACACACACACGCATAACACACCCACACACACCAATCACATCCTCATAGCCTGCCACGCTCGCACGCCTCCAAATCCATACACATTTACACACACACACATGCCCTCCCCCCACATCCTTACAGCACCCACACCTTTGTAACACATACCCACCCCCCCACACCATACACCACATACACACACCACACACTCCCCATAAACACATCACACATATACACACACATGCACACTCACACACTGCACACACTATAAACACCCACCCACATACCACACACACACATCCACATCCCCATACCTCCCACCCCACACACACACACATGCATCCCCCCATACCTCCCACCACATACACACACACACACACACACACACACAATCCCCCCATACCTCCCACCACATACACACACACACACACACAATCCCCCCATACCTCCCACCACATACACACACACACACACACATCCCCCCATACCTCCCACCACATACACACACACACACACACACATCCCCCATACCTCCCACACACACACACACACATCCCCCCATACCTCCCACCACACACACACACACACAAATACATCCCTCCATACCTCCCACCACATACACACACACACACACATCCCCCCATACCTCCCACACACACACACATCCCCCCATACCTCCCACCACACACACACACACACAAATACATCCCCCCATACCTCCCACCACATACACACACACCTGCATCCCCCCATACCTCCCACCACACACACCCCCGCATCCCCCCACACCTCCCACCACACACACACCTGCATCCCCCCCATACCTCCCACCACACACACACCCCTGCATCCCCCCATACCTCCCACCACACACACACCCCCGCATCCCCCCCACACCCTCCCCACCACACACACCACACACCTGCATCCCCCCCCATACCTCCCCACCACACACCACACACCCCTGCATCCCCCCATACCTCCCACCACACACACACACCCGCATCCCCCCATACCTCCCACCACACACACACCTGCATCCCCCCATACCTCCCACCACACACACACACATCCACCTGCATCCCCCCATACCTCCCACCACACACACACACACACACACATCCACATCTCCCCATACCTCCCACCACACACACACATCCACATCTCCCCATACCTCCCACCACACACACACACACACACATCCACATCTCCCTATACCTCCCACCACACACACACACACACACACACACACACACACACTTCTACGTTCAGCTGTACCACCATCCTGCCCAAGTCAGATCCTTTGTTCACGTTATTCATTGATTCTCTAAACTGTCCTCATGGCAAAATAACTAGGTAATTAACATTAAATCCCATCTTCTTCCCCTCCCAGGATCACTCTTCCTTCCCACTGCAAAGCAGCCATCTGTGGCTGAGGAAAGCAGTGGAGCTGCGAGCAGCCATCCTGCCAGCCGGGCTCGCCAGCCAGGCTCAGTGCTGCGTCTACACGGACACCTCGGTAGCCTCTTGGCTGCCCTCTGAGAACCACACATCCCTGGGATTTGCTTCAGCAAAGATTCGGTGTTAAGACAACTCAGATGCAAGGAAGAACTAATTGGACTGATTCCTCTTAAGAGGGTCTGAAACAACTCTGTTCCGTGAAAACTGTCATCCCAGCAATACTTTGTAAGTTAGGCAGAAAGAGTTGTCATGTGAGAGTTATTAAGCAAATGGATTCTCTTTTCCTCCAGATGGGAAGAGTCTTATTAGCTGGGTGAAGCCCATCTCATTCTGGCTACACAAGCAATTTGTTTTCATGTTGTAAGGAGAGGGAGGAGGGTCTCATTAATCAGCCGGGATCATATGCTCAGAATGGCAGCATACCGGAGACCGACCATTACCATTCTGTGTGGCGTGAGCTGCAATCAGGAAAGACTTTGTGGTTTTCATTCACTCAAATCTTTTAACTAATGGTGGTAAGGGCCACTAAGAAATCCAGGTGTTACAGCTGACATTTACATTTGGAAAAGAAACGTTTGTGTTGATTCTGAGTGAGACTTCATTCGTCAGAAAAATCCACCCGATCTATTTATGTGAAAATCCAGAAAGAAAAGGCAACACCACGGCTCACTGTGCCATTTCCGTTCACGTTCCCTCGCGTGAGACCAGCTTCCTCTAGTGACAGATTTCAGGGTGTTTTCAAAGGATCCCAATGCCCCAAGGGAAAAGAAGAGGCAGTATCCATTCTGAAGATGACATAAACCATTGCTAATATCTGTGTCTTCATCATGTATTTCTTTATTTCAAACTCACGACACTGTCTCATGCTTAATAGGGTGTTTAACACAATGGTTCTCAAGTTTTCCTGCATATTAGAATCACCTAAGGAGTTTGAAAGCCTTCTGATGCCTGGGCTGCACCCCAGAGCAATTAAATGGGAACATCAGAGGTAGGCAGCCACACATCAGTGTATTTTTAAAAACTTCTAGGTGATTCCAATGTATAGCCAAGGGTAGGGGCCAGTACTCCGAGTGTGAGACACACTACCAGGACCCAGGCAATCCCTTTAACTAGTCCCCAGGAAAATGCCGTCCCTTGCCTCCAGCTTGGTCACCTACTAATAGCTCCCAGAGGCAGCGGGGGTGGTGCTTGAGGGCGACAACAACACAAACCTTGGTGATGGCACACTGGGTCTTGTTCACAGAGAACATTTTTACGATAATACAAACTCTGATGCTAATTCTCAAATTGTAAAATTGTAAAAGTTTATCAATGTATTGTTAACTGTCGTTGCTTTTAATACACACTTTTTTTTTTTTTTTTTCGAGGCGGAGTTTCACTCTTGTTGCTGGAGTGCAATGGTGCAATCTCGACTCACTGCAACCTCTGCCTCCCAGGGTTCAGGCGATTCTCCTGCCTCAGCCTCCCGTGTAGCCAGGCCACCGCGCCTGGCTAATTTTTGTATTTTTGGTAGAGACGGGGTTTCGCCATGTTTGCCAGGCTGGTCTTGAACTCCTGACTTCAGGTGATCCACCTGCCTCAGCCTCCCAAAGTGCTGGGATTACAGGTGTGAGCCACTGCTCCCGCCTTTAATACACATTTTAACAACCAGCTGACTGGGAGGGAAAAGTAAAGCGAGAGGAGGTTGAAAAACAAATTGTATGTATTAATGTAAATGCATGTGAAAGTATAAAATGCTGCTTCTTTCACAAAGGAAAATCTCATTGGAACTTAGTAATGACGCCGTTACGACCCACATAAAACCCAAAGATAATTCAAAGTTACAAAAATGTAAAAAGAAAGATCTGGAGACTGAATGCCCACCCACGGTGAATGTGGTCTATGAGTGTCAGCTCTGGATATCCCGATCCAACCAGATGCTGCAGGAGCCCGGAAAGCATCACAAATATGAGGAAAGTGTATCCATGCCGGGGCTTCCATTTGTTTTTATAAGGCCATAAAAATCATAAAGCCTAGCCGGGTGTGGTAGCGGGTGCCCGTAATCCCAGCTACTCAGGCTGGAGGCTCCAGCTGAGGAGAATTGCTCAGGACCCAGGAGGCAGAAGTTGCAGTGAGCTGAGATCGCACCACCGCACTCCAGCCTGCAGAGCAAGACTCTGTCTAAAAAAAAAAAACGGGGAAAAGAAAACATAAAGTGCACTATTTCCATGCCTACTTTAGACAGTGGCCCTCAAGTGTGGCTACACATTAGAATCACCTAAGGAGTCTTAAGAAATCTTGATGCTTACACTGCACTACGGATCAAGGACATGAGAATCCCTGGGGTGGGACTGAGGCTGGCATTGGTCTTTTGTTACAGCTCCCCAGAGGACTGGGAATTCCAGTATTCAGCAAGGTTGAGGATAACTGCATTGGAAGAAAGCAGCAGCTAGCTACCTGCATCCTTAATTCCTATCTCTTCTTTTCCCAGGAGCCAACAGAAAAAAATGCACCAGGAGGGAAAGACAGGAAAGGAGGAACAATAAAGGAAGGGGGGCTCCACACACCTGCAGCAGGAAAGGCTCGGCTTGCACCACCCACCCCTGCCTGCTGCACACGAGGCTGGGAGCTACCTTGGACTTTGTGGTCGTGGTCATCCTGCAGGATTGTGATGGCAACTGTGTGGTTATTCTCCATCTCTAGGAGAGCAGCCTCATGGCTGGCGGTGAGATCTTCCACCTGGAGGAGAGTCGCAGTTACCGGTTAGACAGAGAGCTGCTTGGAGAACAGAAGTGGAATTCCGTGAGTGGAAAAGGTCCATGACCTGAAACATCAATGACAAGTCACAGCCTCGTGCCGAAGCAGGCGAGTTGGACTTTGGTGGTGATGTGGCAGCCCTCAGAGTCAAGAGGAGGTCACTGCCCCAACCTGGCTCTTTGCAGGAGGATCCAACTCCAGGCAGGGGATCACTGCCTGAGGTACCTCTTTAGAGTCCTGAGTGTGGCTCCTGGACCATCCCCTTCCCACTCCTAGTCCATCCCCTTCCCACTCCTAGTCCATCCCCTTCCCACTCCTAGTCCATCCCCTTGCACCGCTATGAGCGATGACGGCAAAGGAAAAGAAATGGGTCCTCCCTACGGGGTGGTCTGTTTCCCAGAGGCAGGGGGAGCTATAGTACACAAGGTAAACGGAGGCGAACGAATACTTATTAGGCTGCCCGAGATACGTTACTCTACTTAACCCTCAGAGCCACCTTCTGAAGTAGATCTTATTATGCCCAACTGACAGATGTGGAAACTGAGGCTCAAAGAAATTTGAAATGTTTTGCCCAAGGGCTAACAAATGGCAGAGCTAGCAGTGAGACCCAGGTCTGTCTGACTTCAAAGGTGAAGCTCTTTCGAATGCACTATTGGTTTGTGTTGACCTCCCCCAAGCAAGACCAGCAACGGACACCTTAGGATTCTCTCACCAGTACCAGGTGAGGCTGGGAGGTCTGCGTGTCTGTTTTTAAACACAAGGTTGCCCCCCAGATTATAACTTGGACCTTCTGCTCAGGCAACGTGGTGCTCCTGGTAAGGGCTGCTGCTTCCCAGCTGCAGGAATGCTTCTAGCAGTTTAATCGCACGGAGTGCAGCCAGTCCAGTCCAGGATTCTTCCTTTTCATGTTTCCTGACCCCCTCCCCTACCCCCTCACCTTCCTGCCTACCAGGTTTACTGTTTTTGTTATTGTTATTGCGGCTGTTGTTTTAACTTCAAATACATGACTTGCAGGAGTAATGGCCTAAAACGACCTCTCCCTATCATTGCAAATCTCTCCTGGATATGCTACAACAGTGTTTATCCAAGTTCTCTGTCAGTGATCCACTGCAAAAATCACCATTGTACACAATACCACAGCGCACACACCCACACACAACCACACCCAAAACCAAAGTTTCACAGAAACAAAACTCCGCCTTCCATTTGGAAAAGTCTGGTTTAAAAATGCTTCCTCTGTTTTACTTCGTTTTACAAAAGGCGAGTTAGTAGCCGCTACATTTATTTCACAAGCTACTCATGTGTCAAAACTTGGCATTTGAAAACCACTGAACTAGAAAATGTGCGCTGGTCTTGAAGCCCCTTGGTGGCCCAGTTAAGAAGACATTGCTTCTAGCTGGTCATATTCAGCCGCGTCTGAGGCTCCCACATTTCTCTGGGGAGGATTCACGGGCTGACCTTTGATCTGAATGGAGAAAGGGTTCTCCCCAAGAAAAGAAGCCTGCCTGTGAAGTTGACACATGGGGATATATCTGATTTAAAAAGGGGTGGATTCCCATTCCGGATACTATTATTTCATCAAAAAATTATCCCGACTTCTCTTTCTTCTGGTAAACGAGAACTTCATCCACTAAAACAAGTATCACTGGGCAAAACCAACAGCGGACCCATGGCATTAGGAAAGCTGCGTCGCAGTGTGAGAATGGACACGGTGCACAATGACTCGCTCGCATTTAAAGGCCATTCTTGATCAAACGGTATTTACTCGAAGCTCAGAGCTATGAACCCACCAGCAGAAAGGCTGATTACAACAGTATTTAATTGTCCAATTCCTGTTTACAGGAGGTTTTCATGGAATCTTTGTCCAAAACCTTTCAATCTGTTGGAAAAATAAATCACTAGCTTAAAAAGGAAATACCTCTTCTTTCTGCTCCATTACGGATGTCACTCAGGCCACAGCACACCGTAAAAACACAGCGCCCCCCCGCACCCTCCCTGCACCCCCCCCCCCCCCCGCCCCACACACACTGTTTGGAGGGCTGCCACACAGTTCAGGAGAGCAAAAAACCTTTCATCGGTCCTTGGCGTGATTCTCATTTATTGGGTGCTTACACAAATGATCATGAGTGGTTTCAGAAAAGACAGACAGATGGAAGAACTAAGTTTCAGAAGAGTCCTATGAGTCCCAGGAGGTGGATGTGCCCTGACCAGCAACACTACACTGTGTTTGTGGCATCAACGTGTGCCATTCTGGTTTGCTGGAAGGTAAAAAGCCTTTGATTCAGTGGTGATGGAATACCATGCCCATTGTAGTAAGGGTAATGTAATGGTATCGTATATTTGTTACAGCCTTTCAGAGGTGCTTTTATGAATGAAATCACTGATCTCCTAACTCTAAAAGTTCATATGGAATTAGAGAAATGCCCAGTATGTTAGGAAGGAAACTAAAGGGAGCCCACGAGTCAAAAAATCTGAACACAAGAATCCCTGCTCTTTAGTAATTTAGGTTTCATGCAACTTTATGGTTTTTAAAAAATGTTCTCTCCAAGAGGAAGGAGCTGTCTACTGTTGGCCATCCTCTTTCTTGTCATAGTATTCATCCATACAACTTCTCCTGTGGTTCTTGGCTTCTTTCTACAGCACAGGTTCACATTTATGAAGCAGCCAGTAAGAACTCCCAGCCTGAGAGGATCTTGAAACCAGAAGGAATTGGAGGAGATTTAAACAAGGTGACCCAAGGAAAGCACAAGATCTTTCTATGCATTGAAGATGACCAAATCAAAGACAAAAGTGCTCGACCATTATGGCCTATGGCAAACTTGGGCTGGCTGAAGCACCCTTAGCTTCCATTTAGAACCCTGGTGAGGCCCCTTAGACCACCACTGGGCCATCCTCCTCCCTCCATAGAGAGAGTTCTGGGCTGTGCCATGGAGGCGTCTGTCAACACAGACATCCGGTAGTCCTCGTTCTATGGAAAAGCAGCTGTTCCCTGTGACATGACTCCATTCCCGCAGCCGCCTGCTATTCAGCTGGGCTGACTGACAGCAGAGCACAGGGTTGGAAGACCACCCTCTCAGACGGGTGAGACTATAGCTGTGGTTTGACTTCATTTAGCCATTTACAAAATGCAACGATCTGGGGCTTTGGCAAGTCACTTGGAGAAGACTTAGATTTCAAATGAAGAAACGTGTGTTTTACATTGTCTCAGCTTCATTCATTAAACCCAAACCAGATTAAACTCCCATTTGCGCCCATCCACATGGGATGAGAGAGAGGGAGCCTGCCCAGGCCCACTCTCTCCCACGCTCTCTTCATGATTTTCATTTTTAGATAACGAGGGGGCCCTCCTTCACTTGGTCATGGGTTGCAGTATCCTGGACACTGGCTCAGCCATGCCAGAGCTCCCAGTCTGCTGTCATCCCATGCCGGGCTGTGCCTCTGCCCCTCTGCAGCCCTCCACGCAGGCAGGTGTTGACAGAGGCCCCATCTCCACTGCACCGCCTTCTCCGGAGCATGGAACGTCTGGGCTGTGATGGCAGGCTCTGGTGCTGGGAGACAGAGGGCCCTCAGGGATCTCTTTCTATTTGATTAGACAGAATGTGGTTTCCGCTGCACAGCAGCTGTGAGCCTGCTCTGCAGGAGGGCTGAGGAGGCATAATGCAGATGATGGACAAAGTGGCCTCTGTACGTTTGGATTAATCCTGGGATGCTTTTCCTTGAGTCATTTAGTTTAAAATGATTTCCTTACGAAAGCATAGAAAGTGCATCCTGGATAAGAGACAAAGCAACATTTAAACTCCAAAGGCTGAGCTCTGCTGCTCCCTATGGAGGGGGATGTGTGCTGAGCCTGATGGAGCAGAATCGTCACGCATCCAGACAGGCGGTCCCTGAAGCCAGTGGCTTTGGAGCAAGTCGTGGAGTAAGACAAACTGAGGGTCTTGGAGGAATGGGTCCAAGGTCACACGCCAGATACTTGCATGCCAGGCTCTGTGGGGACAGTCAAAGGCAGCCCAGAAGCCAGGGCTGGAAGCTGGGCTGAACATGTTTGGGGCAAAAAAGGAAAATGCGTGTGTGTTTACAGTGAGTCTGTTTTGCGTGCTTTGATAAAGGGAAGCTGTGGCCATTTGGCATCTGTTGATGCGCAGCTTGCTACAGAAGGAGAGCTGGCTTTCACACACGAAACACCTTTATCCTTGCACCTTGAAAATAAGAGTTACATCTTGTCTTTAATCTCACTTAAGAAAGCCAAGAGGCAAGACCACCTCCACCCCTCCCTCAGGTCCTTAACTGGAGCCAGCAGGGCCCTGCAGCTCCCACGATGCCTGCGGTTCTGGGCCCGGGCTGTACACAGAAATCCCCTGGACAGTCCAGAAACAACCTGCTGCCAGGTCTCATCAGTGACGCTGATTCAATTAGTGTGAGCGGAGGCTGAGGAGGGGTGTTTGCCAGTTCTCCAAGTACCCACCTGTGTAGCCAGGGCACACACCATGGGCAGAGAGCCAGCCCGTGCCCCGTGAGATGGCGGGGGGCCAAGCAAGAAGCAGCTCTGGCTGGCTTTGTCATGAAGGAGGTGCTGCTGCAAAGCCAGAGGTCAGCCTGCCTCAGCCGGCAAGTCCCAGTTTGAGTAAAGTGATATTTGCAGCCTCAGAAAATCCTGCATCAGAACTGAAGCAGCACCTGCCCCTATTGCCAGCTGTTGGGGGCCACAGGGTCATGAGGAGACGCCAAGTCAGTGAACCTGATTTTTAAGGGTCCAGAAGGACAGAAATGTTGCTATCTGTGGGGTTAGCACTGCCCAGTGCAACCGTCCCTGAGAAGGAGGCCCCCAGAGTGGAGAGTCCACCAAGGACTCTGAAACCATGGATCATCCTCATCTCCATCTCAGTCACACCCTTGAGTCTCCTCTCCCACTAAACAGGAACACTGGTTCTATCTGGTAGTTAGACTATTGGCCTGGGGTGCATTTCATCTTCCTCACTTCCTGCATGTTCTCTGCTAAGGAAACTGAAGCCTGGGGAAACAGCCAAAACATTCTGCAGCAGGAGCAGAATCAGGGGCCTGAATAATTCATAGGCTTGACTCTCTGGTTCCCCCAAACCAATGGGTTTCTGTAGGAAAGATTCAGCCAAATGAAAAGCATTCAGATATGATTTCTGACACTTCCAGCTGTGAGGATAAGATGTGAAACTCTCAATTCCTCCACACGCTGTCTGCATTTCTCACCCACGTGACAGCTCCTTGGGCACTTATCTCGAAGCTTCCTCAATGGATAGATAAGCAAGCCCACCTTTTATAAATCTCAGTATCTCTTGCAGTATCCTGTCATGGTGCTTTGCGTACATACAATGCACATTCCACAAATATTCTTTGCGCAGGTGAATCAGTAAATAAATAAACGGCTTTTGCTATCATAAAGGATCATGAACAGAGCACAGAGCTCTCATACAACAGAACGTTTGAATTACGCCCAGGTAGCTTATGTAAGTCATTTTCATGTGGAAACGTCAAGGGTTTCTCTCCTTTCATCACTCCAGCTTGAAATATCTAAAAGGCCGCCATGTCCTGGCTTTAAAAAGAGGTGAAGCACATCTCTAGGCACACACTTCTGCACAGGTGAGGCCTCAGCGAGGCGTCCTGGCCCCCGAGGGGACATGCCCCCCTCAGCAGTGCCTCAGCTCCAGGACACCACCACGTGAGCCTTTGTTCAGCGTCTCCTGCCTGCGGACCACCTCTTACCCCTCCTCCTCACCTTCTGGCATCGTCTCAACCAACTCAGACCTTCAGATCAGAGGCCTTTGGTAAACATGGGTATAAACGTGTTCTGTGTAAACCTGGGGATGAATGGCCCATAGACACAGAGGCACAGAACAAGCTGATATTCATACCAGGCTTGAGATGTATAAAGCGGCCATAAAATCAGTAAGACTGTAGACAGCAGCCCGTGCAAACGTCTCCCGACAGGAGTTACACGCAGACAGACTGGGAGGCACGACGCTGGGGGTTCAGTTTCGCATCTTAACACCAACAGGTAACTTTAGCTGTAACCTATTCTGTTTCCTAGTCTCTATGGTCTAACCCACCTCAAACAGGGAGGTGTGTCTGGTTTTTACAGGCCTCTAGGAAAGGAGAATGACTAACCTGAGATACTGTCTAGAATAAAATGCCACAAAGTAAGAGAGGTTTTTTATTACAATGACAGCAATTAGTATTACTCTTAAATTTCTCCCAGGTCCCCTAAGATGCACAAGCCTCTTCTGGGGCAGTGGGAGGGCCGGGTGGGTACTGCCGTCTGGGATGTCCATTTGGAAGCAGCTGAGGAGGGCAGCACAAGGGTTTTTGACAATGAAGAGGCCACTCGACACGAACCTGAATGCCAAGTGAGATTTAAAGGGTGCCCTTCACAAATGTCAGCTTACCTTAAGCATATCATGAGCACACTATATAAAGCAACACACCAATTAGAAGGTGGGGGTGAAGGCACCGGAGCTGGAGAACTTAGAAATAAGAGAAAAGAAAGGAGCAGTGCTCATGGAAGCAGGGTGGGTACATTGAATCGTCCGCCTGCCTCTCATCAGTACTAACGGCAGTCGTGGACAGGGTGGCTGCAGTGGGGGTGGCAGCACCTGCCTCCTTCCGGCTTTCATACCGACAAGCGCCCTGGGAATTATCCTCTGGTTAGTCCATGGATGCATTTTCCTCTCCAGTAAGGTTTCTGGGCAAAGGTTAACCATTGGCATTCATCCTTTCATCCAGCAAATGGATATTGTGGGTACTCCGCCAGGCATGGATCCAGGTGCCAGGATCCAGCAGGAGAGCTGACAGGCAATTCTAACTTAGTGGCTGACAGCAGGGGTGTGGGGCCAGACTGGCTCAACCCTGGCTTCTCCATGACCAGCTCTGTGAATTCTGGCAATTACTGAACCATGGGGGCTTGGCTTTCTCCCGTGTAGAATGGGAATAAGAATGGTACCTTCCTCATTAGGGGAACTGTGAGGACTAAATGAGTCAGTTCATGTAAAGAGCTTAGAGCAGTGTCCGGTGTAGGATGAGTGCTAGATACATGTTTGCTTGTTATTCTTTCTGCCCTCATGGAATAGAAAGATGATAAATAAGGTAGAAAAGCAAAATGTATGTGTTAGTGATAAGTGGTGAAGGAACACTAACACTGGGAGGGGGACAGAAAGAGTGTGTATGTGGTG